AGCAGAGTTGATTGGAGGTCACATTCAAATACAAAAGTTATATGTTTTAGTTTATTATTTGAAGATTTCAAAAGCTTACAAAAATTATTGGTCCAATATTTTTTTGTATTCTTTTTTCATTTATTATAGCAATATACTTTTATTTTGTATCATTTTTGAACGTTATGGTTAACCAATATTAACCATTAATCAAAACCATTAACCATAACCACTGGATACCAAAACACATTAACCAATAGTATTGGTTATGATTCGTTTTGTTCAATAACCGAAGCAAACCGCCTATACACACTCCTACTCATAAATATATGTATATGCATATAAATAAGTATAAGCAGGTTCATATGTGCATATTAATGTATACACGTTCTAAACTGTATATACATACACATATGTATTTGCATATAACATGTGTGTGACATCCAAATTTTAGGTCAAAGACTGTGGATGATTGATTCACAGTAAATCTTTTTGTAATTTGATTCGTTGAGTTTTAGTGCATATTTTGTAAAATAAATGAGTTCAATTCAACTATTAAAGCTACCAGATGATATCTTATTTCCAAATGTGTAAACTGACAAAAGAATTAAATAGCTCAAACTGAAACCCTAGTTAATGCGCCTGAAAAAATTGAAATTTCGTATTAAGCAGTTATGAGCAAAGCAAACATTTTTACCTAATAGTAAATGTTCCATTGTTTCCAAAAATATAAAGAACGTCCAAAACGGAGTTTGTATGCAAAAGATACGACAATTATAAGAAAACAAACAAGTAAAACACTAATTTTCTTTAAACTGCTAAAACGAATTTTGGGTGGTGATTTGAGCAAGTTTTTGTTATGCATGCTTATTTGGTGACTACCATGTGCAGCCAAGTGGGAAAGTAAAGATTGTTAGTGATTTTGTTGATGATAGGGTTGAATGGAAGTGTTGAATCCATTGATGCAGTGTGGCTTCATGGTTCTAAAGATGAAAATTAGATCCATTATGCAGTGTGGCTTCATGGTTCTAAAGATGAAAATTAGATCCATTATTGGAGACCCACCAAAGAAAATGACCAAAGTCTTGTAGATCTACCAAATACAATGGAACCCAGCTAAACCTACGATAACAGGTAACTAATATGTACAGGTAAGTATCTTACCCTTTTAAATCATTTTCCCCTCTACTCTATGTTTATTTTTAAATCAAGTGACTAATAATAATTTTAAAAGTTTAATAAATTTGTTATATTTTCTCTTTAATTATCTTACTAATAACTAATAACATTAGTATATTTGCAATGTATTATTATGTTTAAGATCGGTGGGTGTGGTGCAACATTTTAATACACTTTTGGTTTGTCACGTTAGCACTACATCATTTCCTCCACCCCTTCACCCTTCAAAACTGATAGGAAATGGTACCAAACCTCACCATACTTTTTTTTAATTAAACAAAATATGATTTAATAAAATGCAATTATATAAAAATACTAAAAGGAAATATTTCATTAATTAAAAAAATACATACTAAAAAAGACATAAAAAACATAATTGAAGCACGACATTATAGTACGTCACACCTAATATTCGTCAAACATCATCATAATCCTCAACTGAATCATCTACAAACATGTCCAATTCGTCATATGTATCGTCGAACAAATCATCGACGACATGACATATCCCACCAAATTAGCACAAAGGTTGTGGTGTCCAACTCGGTCGTACACTTCCCCTATATTCTCCGTGTATTCAAGTGTACCAATACCCACCCCTTCGAATGTTGTTAAATTTACATTTTCATTGTAATGTCAAATCGCTTTTCCTTCATTTTCTATAATCATATTATGCAATATGATGCATGTATACGTCGTGCTATTTATTTTTCTTTGCTCGAATGATCGTGCAATATTGAGAGTATCTGCCAATGTATTTTAGAACACAAAAGGTTCGCTCGATATGCTTTTTAACTGATTCTTGGGAGACTTAAACTTGAATTTCTTTTCGTCGTTTGAACATGAGAATGATTTCACAAATGTAGTTAAGTCGAGATATATCACATCCATGAGGTAATATCCACACTCATATGATGTTCCATTTGTTTGAAGCAATACATCATACGATTTTCCAATGTAAATATCATTGAATATGGATAATTGGTCTAGAACATTGATGTCGTTGTTGACACCCGATGAACCAAAAATGCATGTCATATCCAAGAATCATACGATGCCATTGCTTTTATCACCTCACATAAATCGACCACACTATGCACACCCCCAATGCATACAAATCAATACTACCAAGCATTCCATGTGTAACAACGTAAATTTTCAAAACAAATTTTCATTTTTATAACATAACATATTCCATAAACTGACCACAAACTCAAGTGTATCAAATATTATCCCAATGAAACATATCCCAAAATCTCAAATACATAACACATATTACTCTATCAATGTGTGCAAATCATGTAGGTGCCTTCCCGCGATCCTCGCTGGTACCTGAAACACATATCACATAACACGGTAAGCATAAATGCTTAGTGAGTTCCCCAAAATACCACATACAACACATAAGCCTCTCGAGGCTATAAGACCCTTCGGTCAATGTGTCTCAGTGGGACCCTCCAGTCCTGTAGCTCGTTGGACCCTCTGGTCCGGTCTAAATCGTTAGACCCTCCGGTCTGGTCTATATGAGGACCCTTTGGCCTCGTAATTCGTTGGAACCTCCGGTCCGGTCTAATATCACATAGCATACATAAATCACAAAACACATAATCTCAAGTAAGCACATAACACGTAAGGCCTTACGGTCTACACATAGATACCGCTTTAGGTAATGTATAGTGAGAAGACTCACCTCGTAAGATGTCTAGAAAACTCTCGTGCTCGAATCCCCGATCTAGCCTCCGCCTATCAAAATGATAACATCTCTAATCAATACACTCCTAACATACTCCTCTCTAAGAATGGGTAGAAGACTATTCTACCCCTCCCTGACCTATTTTTAAATCAATTTGACCAACCCTAAGGTCAACTGAAGTCAACTTAATCAATGGTCCAACTTTGACCAGACTTGTTGAGTGCACTTGAGTGACTCGGCGAGTCCATGCGTGTCCTCTGAATTCTCCTATGGCCTTACTTGATTTGTCGAGTTAACCTTTCACTCGACGGGTTACCATTGATCACGAATCGCGGGGCAACCCGATCCGACTCATCGAGTCCTCTTATGGACTCGACGAGTTTCCTCCATGGCAACACTAATTTGACTTTCTGAGGTCATATCTGATTCTCTAACCTATAGATCTGACCTTCTAACACCCAAAAGTCATGTAAAGGTTTAATCTTTATGTCCATGCACCACACATCAAGCCCCATTTGATGAAATAACTCTTAAAATGACAACCTAGATTCAAAACTCCAATGGGACTACATAAAGTTGGATGATTTGGACTCTCTGGACCTAAAAGGGTCCAAATTTATAACACAAACTTGCAAGAGGGGTTTAAGGCATCCAAAACCCCAAAAATGAAATGATTCAAGCCCTAACCCCAATAATGGAATCTACACAATAAGGAAGACAAGGGTTCAATTTGGTACCTCAGAATGAAGCTCTTTGCTTCAATAACTTATAACCACAACCTCCTCTTGTCCTTCTTGCTGTAGCTCTTCTCCTCTCTTGCAAAATCACACCAAAAAGCTCAAGATGGCTCTTTCTCTTACTCTACACACTCAAACTCGCCAGGGTTCTCTCTTATGGGAAGGTAGCCGCAAATGAAGGCCATAAGTGCCTTTAAATAGGGATCAGGCCCAAAGATTTAGGGTTTCTGTCAACAACGCGGACTCGTCGAGTCGACTTATCGAGTCCATTCATTAATCTGAGTCATCAGTCGCGATCCTACTCAACGAGTTTAGGCGTCAACTCATCGAGTCCCCCTTCTTAACTCAAAAGTAAATACTTAAATTATGATACCTGGAAATTCAGATGTTACACCAGGTAGGGGTGAGCATTATAATCGGGTACCTGTTTTCGGAACCGAAACCGCCTCGAAACTGCCGGTTCCGAAACTGGAACCGTCTTATGCGGTTTCGGTTCCGGTTCTTATTTTTTTGGAACCGCTACCCGCTGGGTACCCGCCAGAACCTGTTTTATATATATATATATATATATATATATATATATATATATATATATATATATATATATATATATATATATATATATATATAGTATTGTATGTTATGTTCTACCTTTGATGCTGATTACTAATACTCATTATACATTACAGTAAGACACTAGAAAAGTAATTTTTAAAATTTTAATATATAAAATTAAAAACATAGTAAATAACTTGTAATATTCTACACGACTATGTTTTGTTCACAGTTAACGATTTTTTTTGGACTTCATTTATGTAGTTTATGTACATGACATTGAATAGAATGATAATAGTTATAGACTTATAAACTAAAAACCAACCGTAACTTAGGATATATACAACGCAGATATGTATATATTTTTTGATTTTAAACATCATTTTATGATATTTATAATTTAAAAGGTAAGCCATGAAGTTATAATTTTTTCATAATGTAATTTTTTATTTCTTAAAAATAAGACGTCAGGTACTCGGAATCAGAACCGGTTTCGGCGGTTCCAAATACTTAGGAACTGATGCAACCAATTCCAAAATTACAGGATTCGCCAGATCCGGTTGTAAAATTAGACGATTTTTTCTGGACTTCATTTATGTTGTTTATGTACATGACATTGAATTGAATGATAATAGTTATAGACTTATAAACTAAAAACCAACTGTAACTTAGGATATATAGAACGCAGATATGTATATATTTTTTGATTTTAAACATCATTTTATAATATTTATAATTTAAAAGGTAAGCCATGAAGTTATATTTTTTTCATAATGTAATTTTTTATTTCTTAAAAATAAAACGTTAGGTACTCGGAATCGGAACCGATTCCGGCGGTTCCGAATCTTTAGGAACCGATGCAACCAATTCCAAAATTACAGGAATTGCCAAATCCGGTTGTAAAATTAGACGAGTACCCACCTTTGATCATCCTTAACTGTAGGGAACCCATGTTTGTTTTCATGTGTCGTATACAGTTTGTTGATGTCACTAATTGTAGGTTTGAGTAAATAACGACCACAATAGTAAATAATCACAAATTTAGCAAACTTGTATAAACATTCTCGTGTCGTTTACTCCGACATCCTCAAATATTAATCACACGAGTCTCGTCCCATTTAAAATGCTAGTGGACGAATTACAACTATATATATATATATATATTTTTTGAATTTTAGATAAATCTTTCTGGCCTTTGCATCAAACCTTTACTAAAAATATGGAAATCGATTTTTCATGTCATCAACAATGTGTAGAAATAATTATTTCCTCATTCGGAACCGACATATGAATTTGTTGGATTAAACTTCATCATGTTAAAGTAGTAATTCATAAGTTGGTTGTGCCCGAGGTCATGGTTTTTTTTTTTCCGTAAATAAGGATTTCTAATTTTTGAACGTGAGCTTTCGATTTCATTTTCTTGTAGATAAAGCAACGATGTTTGCATAACATCCCTGCTAAATGTCGATTCCCTCAACACCAAAGTGTCCGGCGAAGTGGGTGACGATGTAGATATTTTTGAATCGTAAATATAAAGAATATAAATGTAAGCTTAATAACATCCACAAACCAAAAAGAAAACCGTGCAACACACTTCTGTTGTGTAGTGGTTTTACCGCACACGATTGTGTTCATCGTACTATCATTGTAACATTTCATCCGGCTTCATGTGCGGTTTCTCCCACTCCCACTCCGATCGGTCTAATATATTTTGTTATATTTGAAATAGTTTTTATAATAAAACACTTTAGGGCTTAGGCTATGTGAAGCATTTTTCATCTAAAATTGTTATTTTTAAATGATTTTTAAACAAATTTGAATTTTGAACAAATGAGTAGCTCAATCTTTCCATGGTGTTCGGTCCTCACTTTCATCAAAATTTGAAAACAAAAGAAAGCGGGAAATCAGGGCCTGGTTCAAACAGCGCTCTTTCGTCATAACCGCCGCCGCCAGCCACCGCCACAGCCACAGCCACCATTCTGTTGTTCATCCCCAGATTCTATTCATCGATCAGTTCTGTATGTCGAATGGTAGCTTCTTACTTCCATTTTCGTTTTGATTGTGTATAAAATCCATCTTCGGTTGTATTTAAGACAAGGTATTGTGTAAGTTATCTGCTGATGTTGCCGTTTCCTGTCTATTACTGTCAAATGGATTGATATCTAATAAGCCAGTTTCTCTTTTGGGATTACGTGAAATGGGCAACGATTTGAAGCTTTATCATCTGTGGCTTTTCGACTCTGGTGAAGAATTCTTTTCTAGTTGTCAGTTGACACTATCCATGTTTTTGCATTTATAATATGAATTTTTAAGATACATTTATCGTTCTTACTGTCCATGCTGTCAGTTGATGTTCCAAATTGGCATAAATTTTTATCTAATTTTGCTTTTGGATGTGATTTACAAGCAGGGGAGTTACTCATTGATTGATGAACTTGCCAATAAGTGACCTAGGATAACAACATGAAGTAAGAAAAGTAACCCTAGTTCTTTCTCCCCTTTTGTTTTTTGCTTTAAGATTAACTTTTTTTGTTTGTTTGTTTACTCTTTGTGGTTGATATTCAGTAGCAGAAACGGTGGTGGAGATTCTATAGGTTTTGACAAGGCAATGAGACATAATTGGTCTCAACATGCTAAATACTTGAGCCAAGATAAGATTTTGAAATCCAACTTCCTCATCTCATTGTCAACACAAAAACTTTCTGTTGAAGAAGCAAAGGCTGCAATTGCAAGGTGTGTTTTTCAGCCATGGCTATGTTGTTTACTTTCTTGACTACCTACTTATGTACTCTCTCTCTCTCTCTCTCTTTTTATCTAGTATTCTTTTAATTATAGTAGATGCCAACTCTCTAAACCATGCTGTCAAAGTGGCTTATAAAAACTTAAAAATTTGGTTATTTTAATCCTTCATCTTTGTGAATTATTTATTATGGACAGAGTGTATTCCTTTTAAAGCCCTTAATCACTCTGTTTTTTTTTTTTTTTTTTTTTTAAGAAGATTGTTTGTACTCTCTAATATTCTTATAAGGTCATATCAAGTTTGAGATCCCACCGTTTTTTTTTCTTTGTTCCAGATCATTCTCTTGTAAAGTTCAGAATGTTACAAAGGCACACAATCCACAAGTCGAAAAGGTAAGACATATTTTAATGCTGTATTATCATGTGTATTTCTTTTCTATACTTAGAGTAACTATATGGTGATTTATAGTTCCCTGTTTTTAATATGGGAAGCATTTAGTGTTTCTTTAATTTCCTACTTCATTGTTCTTTTATCCTTCTTGCATCGTGTAAAGTTAAAGCTTCTCTTTACTTGCATTATATGATCTTGGACTGTTTCAAAAACAGCAGTTATTCCATTTTTTAAGTATTTACTGATAAAATGGATCTTTTTTATTATATGAACTTCTGACAGGCTTGGCAAGCTCTTTCCAACCTCAAGTTGTCTTCTAGAAGTTATATAAAACCTGGTAAAAGCCTGCAAGTGGCAAAAGATGGTTATTCAGTTTCTTTTCAAGATGATAAAAAAGCTTCTCAACAATGTTCCTCTGATGGGAAAAACAAATTTACAGCACCTACATGGGAAGACCAAAATTCTAATGAAAATCATGTTGAACATAGCAATCCTGATCAAACACTCAATCCTTCTGCAACAGTTACCACTTCTGTCACTGAAACTAAAAGGGCTGAAACATTGCAGAATGGGGGTTATGAGTCATATTCCACAAGTGCTTGTGGAAATGATATAAGTGGCATAAACAGGAATCATGCAAAAAATTGGAGCCATATACATGGGCTTCAGGAGATTGATGATGAGGATACTTTTCAGGTAATTTGTGGTATCAACAAGATTCTAACCAAATGCTGAATTCCTTATAATTGTTATAAGATAACCTTTTAGTAGAGTAATGTTGTAAAGATGCTAAGAAAAATAAACGTTGAGTTTATATTTACATGTTATATGTGTAATAATATTATATTGCTCTCATCATCAATCAATTTCAAATTGCAGAATTTGGATGTGGATCAAACACTTACTGAACACTTCCAATCATCCTGCAGAATTCAGAAATCAATCTCAAATTCTCCACCCTTCACCCCAGCTGCAAGTAATAGTATTGTAGCATGTGAGGACATAAGTTTACCTCCAGAACTGGATATAGACTGTGGTCATGGTTTTAAGGCATGTAATTTCAAACATTATATGAACAAATATGACATTATTATATGAAATGTCTCATTGTTTACTCATGGTTTTAAGGCATGCAACTTCCAAAATTGTTTCAGCTAGGAACTTGCCCAGAAGCTGCAACCCATTTGCAAGATATGAAGGATATGCTTATTTCCATATCAAATGATCTCATTGACAATGATAATGAATTGAACTCTGATCAATTAGAGACTCTTCGTCAAGATAGGTAATCCCCCATTTTTGTTTAAAAAAAAAAGAATAATGAAATTGTACTTTTGGGTGTCTGATATATGTTTGAATGATGTAATTATAGGCTGCAACTAAAAAAGCAAATCCAACAGCTCAAACAATATTGTTCTTCTATTTTGATGGATGATGAAGGATGCAAATCAAAATTTTCTGCATATTCAAGTGTTAGAGATTTGAAGTATCAAACACCATTAGCATTTACCTCAAGGGTTGATCCTGTTAGACTTGATGATCAGTTTTACATGCATAATAAATGGGACCCACCATCAATATCATGTTCCTCAGTGGGTAATTTTGGCAATTTTTCAACTCCTGTGGAGAGGGAACTGTATGTTCGAAAGAATGTCAAAGTTAATTATATTGATGGTTCAGATGACAAGAAATGGAGCAAGAAAGATTTTTCATGGACCAAAAAGCTGGAGGTTTGTGGCATTGTCATTTAGTATTTATTTTTCACTTTTGCATGTTTTTGAATTTAATGGTGATAATTAATGGTTTGATCATTGCTGATTATGCTCTCAGGCTAATAACAAGAAAGTGTTTGGGAATCATTCATTTCGTCCCAACCAAAGAGAAGTGATTAATGCAACAATGAGTGGAAATGATGTTTTTGTCTTAATGCCAACTGGAGGTGGAAAAAGTCTCACATATCAGGTACTACATGCCATTTTTTTTAATGATTTTGGATGCTTATAGCTTTATTTAATTAATTTCCCACAAATGTTAAGAGCCTGGTTTAAAGAAGTGTTTTTTTTTATGTCCTTTGTGTTGAGTTTAAATGTGTCTTGCACCCTTTTGTTGCAGCTACCTGCTCTTATATGTCCAGGTGTCACATTGGTGATCTCACCTCTTGTTTCTCTAATCCAAGATCAAATAATGCATTTATTGCAGGTATGTAAATGTTGGTATTTCTTAACCTATGAACATTTTCATATTTATCTATTATATAGTGAACATCGAATCTTGTGTTTGGATACAATAAAAGGCAAATATACCTGCTGCTTATTTAAGTTCAAATATGGAGTGGACCAAACAACAAGACATTCTCAGAGATCTTTGCTCAGGGCATTGTAGTTACAAACTGTTATATGTCACTCCAGAAAAAGTAGCAAAGTGAGTGCTTATTTTTATTCTTTTAGCTATTTCTTTTATTATGTTGCTAACTTTTTTAGTGACTTGATATGTGAGTGCAGAAGTGATGCTTTATTGAGACAATTAGAGAATTTATATGCACGAGAATTGCTAGATAGAATCGTGATTGATGAAGCACATTGTGTAAGCCAATGGGGACATGATTTCAGACCAGATTACCAGGTTTTTATATGTTACAAATTGGTTCAAAACTTTGTGGTTTTTCTAGGTTCTTATGTAACAATGTTTCTATGTACTATGTACAGAGTCTAGGTATTTTGAAACAGAAGTTTCCGAATATACCCCTGTTGGCATTAACTGCTACTGCCACAGCCAGTGTCAAAGAAGATGTCGTGCAGGCTCTTGGTCTTGTTGACTGTATTATTTTCAGACAAAGTTTCAACCGCCCAAATTTAAGGTATTATTTGAATATAATTATAATGGGATTTTCACTTAAAATGGAAACATGTCAATATTTCAGGTTTTCAGTTATACCAAAAACGAAAAAATGTATGGAGGATATTGACAAGTTCATTAAGGAGAATCATTTTGATGAATGTGGAATCATTTATTGTCTTTCAAGGATGGACTGTGAGAAAGTTGCTAAAAAGTTGCAGGTTTCTTCTTTTTTGTTCTGTTGTCTTTCTTTATTGTTTATTGATGAAGTAAGCCACTTGTGATTTTTAGGGTTTATGGTGTTGCTTTTCTTTCAGGAATTTGGGCACAAAGCTGCATTTTACCATGCTAGTATGGATCCAGATGAACGTGCATCTATTCAAAAGATGTGGAGTAAAGATGAGGTTAATATAATATGTGCAACTGTGGCATTTGGAATGGGTATGATTTATGAAATGTGATCTAGTCTTTGCTTTAAAAGTAATTAAAAATAATGTTATAGTTTTATACAACATGATTATTTCAGGTATAAATAAACCGGATGTTCGATTTGTCATTCATCATTCTCTTCCTAAATCCATTGAAGGCTACCATCAGGTACCTTTTGTGATCACATTCTACTTTAAAAAATCTATGTATTTTAGATGATATTTTTTTTATAACTTGTAGACTTTTCAAAGTACAATTCAATTGCTATTTCTTGCTTCTCATGGAACACTTTGTTGTAGGAATGTGGGCGTGCAGGTAGAGATGGACAACATTCTTCTTGCATACTGTATTATAGTTATAGTGATTATGTAAGTCATTATCAATTTGTTGTTTCTTTTTTATACTTAATGCATAAAGAAAGAATAAACTTTCCCTCATTTTCATTTTCTCAAATATCTTTTAAACTGTTGTGAAGATTCGGGTCAAACATATGCTTAGTCATGGATCCATAGAACAGAGTTCTTTTGCATCTCGTTCAAGTACTTTAAATTCTGGAAGAGTACTGGAAACAAATACAGAGAACCTTTTGCGCATGGTAATTAATTCTGATATTTCTTTTATCGACTTTGATAATTGATATGATCATATCATCATAATTCATACAAACAAAGAGTATCGAAATCTATAGAATAAAACCACTTGTTATTTTACTCAGGTCAGTTACTGTGAGAACGAAGTTGATTGTCGACGTTTTCTACAACTTGTTCATTTTGGAGAAAAATTCGATCCTTTAAGCTGCAAGAAAACATGTGATAACTGTTCGAAGACGCATACTCTCGTAGACAAAGATGTTACGCAAATAGCAAAACATCTGGTTATGATTTTATAAAATCTATTTTTCTAACATGGCGTTCGTTGTATGACTATTTGCTGAAATTACTTTGTTAATTTGCAGGTTGAATTAGTGAAATCAGTCCGACAAGAGTTCTCAGGAACTTATATCTTGGAAGTCTACAAGGGTTCCATGAACCAAATTGTAATTCATTCTTTCTGTTTTCATAATTTATTCGTTTTATAATCTGCAACATTGTCACTTTGACAAATATCAAAATTTAGGTCAAGAAGAATCAACACGATACCTTAAGGTTACATGGAGCTGGAAAAAATGTAGCAAAAGGAGAAGCATCACGTGTGCTACGTCATCTTGTTATCGAGGAGATCCTTTTAGAGGATATTAAGAAAAGCGATCTCTATGGATCTGTTTCATCAATTTTAAAAGTATGGTTTTTCATTTTTCATTACTCTGTTTTTCAAATTTATCGATAATTGGATAGTATGTAAGTTTTTTGATTTTAATTGTGTTTAGGTAAATGAAAAGAAAGCGTGCAATTTACTTGAAGGTCGGGAGACCATAATGTTAAGGTAAATACATTTTCTATTTTTTATTTTTTGTTTTTGGGATTGGTTTACTTTCAGGATATTATGCTACTTGTAGGTTTCCATCCGTTGTTAAAGTATCCAAGTCTACGACTACTACTCCAGCAAAGGGCTTCTTAACATCATCAAAACAAACTCCATCAAGATTAGATACTCCTGTTCAATCTCAACCAGAAGTAGACTCGGTATACTCTTAATTTTAGGGTTTATAGATAATGCAGCTTTTGTGTTGTGTAACATGATGTTTAATTAAAGCAAAACTTAACAATTATATTTCCCTTTTGTTGTAGAATCTTTCAACTAAATTGTATGGTGCTTTGCGAGAGCTTCGAACTCTTCTTGTTAAGGAGGCAGGGGAAGGGGTGATGGCATATCATATTTTTGGGTGAGTTGCTATGGATTTGTATCCAAAATTTATTTTATTGAAATCAATATCCAATTTTGAAATATCTTTTTTTTTTTGATGATAAGGTTTTTTTTTTTTCTTCATGGTCTAGGAATGCTACGTTGCAAAGTATCAGCAGAAGGGTCCCTAGAACTAAAGAAGAGCTTCTTGAGATTAATGGCATTGGCAAGTAAGTAGTGCTCTGTCTTTTCTACAATTATTGTAGAAAAGAAAAGTAATAACTTAATGGAGTCCTTGACTTTTTCTATTTAGTTCATTATGTCAAAAAGAAACTAACATTTTTGGTGGATAATAACAATGGTAACCTAACACAGGGCAAAAGTAAGCAAGTATGGGGATAGAGTACTGGTGACCATTGAGATTACCCTCAATGAGTACTATAATTCCAATATAAACCAACACATCAGCATCAATGGTGAAAGTGATAGCATCAATTCTCCAAAGAGAATAGATGCAATAAAGAGTTGTTCAGGCCATGATGATGACTTCGTTTATAAGGAACCAGATTCCACAAATGGTCTTGAGATTGTTGATTATCCTGATGATGATGAATCTACATGGAGGCTTTGAGCAATTCGTGTTGCTCTATTATGGTGTATTTACTTTTTCTTCTTCGGTTGTTTTATAAATTATCTACACTTTTTCTTGACCTGATGTTTAATTATTTCTTTACTCTTTTTGCTAGAACTTTAGGTGTTTGGTTATTCAAGGTAAAGATTACTTTTAATATTCTGTGAAAAAAAGGGTGAAAACGTTTTTCAGTTGTGTTTTTCTTATATACATCACAACAGTTCACATACAGGGAATAAATAGCCTAAACAAGGAAAGAGATAATCTACTCTAATTACATAATTAAGAGCTAAAAATACATCTAAAATAATGACAATCACAAAGATAATTTTGGTGAATGTATATCAATCATTCCCAACTTGGATACATTTGAATCAAAACTTATTCTCCGTAATGGTTTTGTAAGAATCTCAGCTTCTTGATTGGTTGAAGGAACATATGAGAGTTTTATCTTTCCAGTTTCAATCTCCGACTTGATGAAATTCCTATCAATACGAACATGTTTCATATGATGATGCTTTATAGGATTATGGACATTTGCAATCACTTGTTGGCTATCACTGTACAGGTGTAATTGACCATTAGCCTCAACTTTCAATTCCATTAGTAATATGTCTAACCATATTAACTCACAAAGTCCTTGTGCAATAGTTCGATACTTTGCTTCAACATTACTTTTTGACGTCACTGATTGCTTTTTGCTTCTTCAAGTGACCACGTTTCCCCAAAACTTTGTACAATACCTTGTTGATTTGCTATCCGACCAATTTGCATTAACAAATCCCTTAATCTTTAGTTTCCCGCTTTTTTTTATAGAGCATTCCCTTTTCAGGTGTTCCCTTCAGATATCTAAGAATTTGATCAACTGCATTGTGATGGCGAATAGTTGGAGCATGCATGAATCAACTTACTTGGCTAACAATGTTTGGCCTAGCTAGTGATAGATAGATCAGTTTTCACACTACTCATTGGTATCTTTCTCTGTTTGTTGGAGGGTCTTCTTCGATCAACTTTTGCGTCCGATTCTTTTCCATTGGAGTAGTTGCTGGTCGACAACCAAGCTTACCTGTCTCTTGTAGGAGGTCTTAGGATACATTTTCTTTGTGAAATGAACATGCCATCTTTGCTTCTAGCAATATTCATTCCAAGAAAATATTGTAATTTTCCTAAATCCTTGACTTTGAATTCTAATTACAATAGTTGTTTTAGGTTGTTGATCTCGTCGATATCATCTCCGGTGATTATCGGCATATACAATCAAGATACATCGTTTTTTTGTTCTTTGATTCTTTGACAAACAGAGTGTGATCTACTTGTCCTTAGCGATATCCAAAATTCACAATAACCGTGCTGAAATGAGTAAACCTCGGGAGATTGCTTTAACCTGTATAAAGCCTTTTTTAGTTTGCAAACTGATCCTATTTTTTCTTTGTGCTTGAACCCATGGGTAGCTTCATGTAGACCTTCTCTTATAGTATACTGTTTTAGAAAACATTTGATACATCTATTTGATGTAATCTCCTAATGAAGATTGGTTGTAATGGATAATAATACTCTTATAGAATTTAGCTTTGCGATAGGGGCGAATGCCTCTTCATAATCAATTTCATATATTTGAGTATATCCTCAAGCAACCAAACGGGATTTGTATCTTTCAATAATTCCATTCTTGTAGTGTATACTCGAGCAACCAGACGGGTTATGTATCTTTCAATAATCCCATTCTTGCCGACTTTCACTGTAAAGATCCATTTACAGCCTACTAGTTTCTTTCTTGTAGGCATATCAACAACTTCCCACGTCTTGTTTTCATTTAATGCTTTTAGTTCTTCAAAGACCGCTTCTTTCCACTTTGGGTCGTTTAAAGCCTCATTAATGTTTAAAAGAATGGTGGTATCATCAAGTTGAGCTGTTGAGATACAAAGGCCCTATGATTGTTAGATAACCAATCACAGGACAAGTGTTTTGAAATAGGATGTTGAGTACAAGATCTTACCCCCATTCGGATTGCAATAGGAGCATCAAGATCATCCCCTTTGGATTTTTCTTGTTGCAATTCTTGTGAAGGATCTGAAGTTGGTTCTGATGGTTGGTTTTGAAGGGATTCTGGCATTTGTTTAGGGATGATATTTTCTGCCACCAGAGATACAGATGGTGATATCGACTCAGAGATGGGCAACACTAGAAGAGAAATAGATAGATCCCAATGATTTTCTTCATTCAAATTCTCCTCCTGAAGAGAATCATAGGAGTAAAATGGCTGATTTTCTAGAAATGTGACATCATAAGATGTACATAACCTTTTTGTAAAGGGGTTGAAACATATGTACCCTTTTTGGGTATACAAGTAACCTACACATACACATGTTGTTGATTTTGGATCAAGTGGTAGGACTAATATTGTGAACAAATGCTGAACCAAAAACTTTTGGAGGAAGATAATTAATTACTCTAGAATTAGGAAAGGCTTTTTGAAGAACATTGATTAATGTATGTAATTCTAAAGGTTTTGAGGGAAGTCGATTTATAAGATAGGAAGCAGTTAGGATTTGATTCTCCCCAAAAAGATTGTGTTATATGACTAGAGAACATGATTGAACGTGACACCTCAAAAAGATGCCCGTTTTTACTCTCGGCAATCCCATTTTGTTGAGGACTTAGATGCACACGAACTCTGAAGTGAAATACCATTTTCTGAGAGGTAGCTTCCTAGATAATACCAAAATAACCGATATAAAAAAAGCATCATCACTAAACATCTTTTTTATTCATGCCCTTTACATACACGGATTTAGTAGCAAATTTACACATACCTCCTCCCTTACACTATTTACTACCACATTTTCTACACAAATCATGTACTTAAAAATCCCACACCACTGACCATGTTTATATATGTACAAATCACAAACCAAACAACACAACTACTCACAGTCACACATTCTCAACCAACTTATCATACCACGCTCCATGAACACTCCCACTCACACTCGCCATCACCCCCAACACCTTCCCAACCTCCACCACTCTATCAGTAAGAACCACCGCCGCCACCTGCCGGAGTGCCATCTCCGCCAATCTCCTCCCATGGTTGCCGCCAAGCAACACCCCTCTGGTGGCCAAATACACCGCCCTAGACACCTTCACAAACACAGAGTCATCAGCCTGTACACTTTTTCTCAACATTCTAGCCATCACAAGTCTTCTTGATTCGGCTTTTGTTACATCATTGGACTTATCGAATTTGTCTGCGGTTTTGTTTAGAACTTGAACAATTTCTTCAAGCCCCGCGTTTTCCATGGTGTCTAGGATCTGTAAAAGCTCTGTTGAACATTTTTGTATTGTGGCTTCCATCTCTTCGGGTGTTGATATCATTTGCTCCATTACAAGTGTTTGTCGAAGAACTAGTATGCTGTAAGAATGAACCCAAAGGATTAGAGTAAAAAATATTGGGTCAAAAGTACAAAACACGTTCAGGAGGGTAGAATGGTCATTTACCTGGTAGCAGTGACAATGATCTTCTGAAGTTGGGCCTGAACAACCCTCAGCCTGAGAAAGTTGAGCTTCAATGTTTCGGGCAACTCCTCTTGAGTCACACCATAAACATCATTCACCAGCTTCAGCAAACCGAGTCTCACTAACAAATCACGCTTTTCTCCCTTGCACTCTGAGTATTGATTATCTGAGTAATAAAATAAATTAGAAAAAAAAAGTAGATCTATAAATTGAAATGAAGCCTTATAAATCAAAATACATTACCTGCAGCATCAGCATCTGTTATAGAATTAGAAACAGAGGATGAAGTTTGCAATCCATTAGAGAAGCTTCCACCAGTTCTAAGAGCAGTAGAAGGAACAACCACCTCCTTCTGTGAAGGTAAAGCTTCAAGGGTCTGTTTGTGGTCACTCCATTCCTGATTATAGGTTGACCCTAATGAAGAAAGCCATCTGAAAGTCAATGGAAGGCAAGTCAACGCATCCGATGGTTGACCAAATCGCTTTGCAAATGCTTTTCCTAAATACTCCAAACCAGCGGGCCCTTTTAGTAATGGTTCCATTATCTTTATACGGGCACTGCTAATTTCTTGCTTCAGCACCTAAAAAACAGAAATTAAATATTTAATTTTTTTTTTTATGGAAAGTAGATTGCTATTTTTTTTTGTATTGAGGTAGAAAAGATACCTGTATTTGCTCGAGGACAAAGCGTAAGCCTTTAACCAGTGCTATGGCATGTGAATGGTTAGAATTGTCTTTTTGGCATATATCGGCTAGTTCTTGTAAAACTTTTTGGTGGGATTCTTTAAGATTGTTTTCATTTGCTGGAGCTGAAAGTTTCTGTAGGCTGACTAAAGCAAACTCCATAATTTTCCCTAGATACTCCATGTCTAAACTTCCAGAATTCAACAACTGTAAAGATGGGGATAAAAAAATCAATGAGATTTCTAAAAGATAAAGAAAACAAACTAAAAAAAGTAAAGAAAGAAACTCAAAGAACAAGTCTACCTGTGAAAGAATAACAACATCAATTGTTTCAATGATTTCTTGTTTCCAACTCTGAGGAGCCATCTCACAAAGTTCATCCCTCACTTCCTTCATCAATTCCACCACGCGATCGTAATTGTCCTGATGAATGGAATCTGCGATTCCATCCCAGAAAGCCTTTTCCATTGTTTGTCGTACCTTTATCATTGTCTGGTCCTCATCACTAGCATTCAAACTGTTGGCAGATGAATAGTGTTGCCCATGAACAAATTCATTCACAATCAACTCATTCTCCATGCTCACAGAATGATTATTAGCACCAGAGGGGCCCACATCTTTTTGTAGTGGTTTGGAAGCCTCATCTTGGAATAGGGAACGGACTACACGGCTAGGCTCTTCATCACTTCTGTTCCTTTTGTCTGAGTCAGCATTGTATGGGTGTATATGTGGCACTGGTGAACCAACAGGGCTACCATTCTCCTTTGCTTCAAAGTATTTTGTTCGTGTATCAGAAAGAGCATTCCTCATGCGTTCTATTCCTGCATCTCCACTCAGGTGCATTACCCTTTCCCTCAATAGTTGTTGATCTTCTGTAACCTGCAACAAATAGCAACATACTTTCATTCATTTCTATTACAGCATTATAGAACTCAACTTCTTTACAAGGATTCAGGAAAGTAGTAGAACCTGTTTCTGAATAGCTTTCATAT